TTGGATCGGACGTTAATCCAAACACAAGAAATGAGAGACGTTTCATACTTGAAGTGATGAAACGTGCTTCATTTCTTAGTCACCGACACCCTTGATCGTGTATGATAGGGTGGAGGTTCATCGAGTCTTGTTTATGCATTCATCAACTTGTACAAACTTGGCTTCTCGGCCATCGTGCATTGTGATGCTTGGTTGGTGGTCCGAGAGTCGAACACCACAGTCCTTTGTGCTTGAGATATGATAAGGAGTGTGGTGGTACACACATTTCCTTACAAATACACTGTCATGCCTCTGTTTGTGCTCTGCTGCAGCAAAAGGAGGAAATTTAGGGAATCAGTGGCCGATCGGCCACCAGAGAAGTCGATCGGCCATGAAAGCCTGCCGACTGGCCATCATTACTGGCCGATGGCCACCATCTCTGGCTGATCATCCCTCAGCATGTTCTTGAGATGGGTCAGAATCAACCTGGAAGTTGGCACAATTTTCAGAAGTCTAAAGATGTTCAAAAAGAGGTATCTTGAGGCAAGGCAGTGGATTTCCGGGAGGACGCGACAGAGCATGCATGCATCCCTCGCCCTTGAGGCCTTTTAACTGCTTTGCTTAGCTAGTTAATTCATTGGTTCTGTACTTAATTAGTTAACGTGCTTAGCTAATAGATCTATGTAGTAATTTGTAATAGTTAGCTTAATTAGCGTAGCTAGTTAGCTTTCATTTCATTCAGACCCTCCTACAAGAGGGCGTATTGTTGTAATAAGGGTGCATGCATGTGTGCATGTTTTCCAACCCCCATTTCTTTCTTCCTTTTACTTAACCACTTTCGATGGTTAGTTTAGGGCACGTTTTGATTAGCATACCTTATGCTTTGCATGCGTGCATCATTCATTCGTATTGCATGCACCGGGCTCGGCGCATCATTCAAACCGCATTGTATTTCAATACACTTCTTTGAATACGTGTATCAAATGTCGCATTCATATGCCATCTTAGATAGCCGAGACCATTTAGTTGCATTTTGCATGTGTTGCATTAGACACTTAACATAGCTAAGATCATGCATTGGTTACTAACTAGCTTCTGTTTTGGCTTGGTGTACACTGTAAGTGTTTATACTTTAACATTCTTGCATATGTGTAAGTGACTGCCATGATAGCATGCTTGCCATGAGATTATTTGCTTAACTGTTATAACTGCATGAATGCCTGTGGATAAAGGCTTCATTGCTTGAATTGGAACAATTCATCAAAATGTGCGTTTTAAGCCCACTTGTTTATGGCAAATAATGTTTTAAGCTCACTTGAGGGTGGCAAATCCGTATTTTAGCTTACTTGAGGGTAGCAATTTCAAACCATTTTCGAAAAACAAACATAAGATATTTTGTTCCAAATTGAGTGATTTAGTCTATACTTGTATGCTGTGCGCATCACATAGTAATTCTAGATTAATAACCGAAATAAGAACACATGTGTTTATAAAAACAGCATATCATGTTAGTAGAGGCCGATCTTTGACCAGGTGAGCGGGGGTGCTCATTTCAGGACCTTCCCTTCTTGTACCCAAGTTCCCGAGCCGAGGCAACTTTGGTGATGATGGACATGTGACCTTAGGCACAAGTCTAAATTTCCTAAAATAAAATATTTAGGTGGTGACTTTGAAATCTGGCAAAGCAGTCCATGTTTGGCGCTTTTTGATTAAAATCGATTTTCCAAAACGATTTGCCGGATTTGGACTCTTTAGTGATTTATCAGCCTTACATTGCACTTTGTAAGATTAGATTCAGAACCGTGACAGGAGTCCGAACTGTAGTAGCATGAACTCGGTTCGCGCCCTCGCGCGCAAAGAGCGTTCGGGGGCGGTCTACACTCCACCATCTTCATCAATATAAACCCAATTCCATTGCCAACATCAAATTCATTTATCCTTTCAAAATCAACATTTGATATATTTAGGGTAAAACCCCCATTTCTTTATAAACCAATTTTGAAGGTAAAAATCCATTAATTCACCAAAACTTAACAATAAATACATTCTCTTAATCATTTCCAACAAAACATTTTAAAACCCCTCTTTTGAAATCAAGCCAAACCCTAGGTTTGTTCAAAATTCTTCCAAATCACAATGTTGTTTTATAAAGACAAATATTTAAGTTAAAAGGCATAAGAAAGTGTGTAGACACCCCATTTTTGACCGACCTTAAGACTTAGACGTCACCAGTTGAGCGCTCGGTGATGTTGCATATTGTGCTCGTTCTGAGGTTTCAGAGTCTCGGCTGCGAGCCTTGCCTCCGGACTTCCGGGCTCTTTTGTGCTTTCCCTCGGTTTGCAAACCAGGTCCTGTTTTCTTTGTTTTCTCTTCCTGAAGGGAGGGAGAGATCTCGTAGATCATCTCTCAGTGCCAAAACGATTTGCCGGATTTGGACTCTTTAGTGATTTATCAGCCTTACATTGCACTTTGTAAGATTAGATTCAGAACCGTGACAGGAGTCCGAACTGTAGTAGCATGAACTCGGTTCGCGCCCTCGCGCGCAAAGAGCGTTCGGGGGCGGTCTACACTCCACCATCTTCATCAATATAAACCCAATTCCATTGCCAACATCAAATTCATTTATCCTTTCAAAATCAACATTTGATATATTTAGGGTAAAACCCCCATTTCTTTATAAACCAATTTTGAAGGTAAAAATCCACTAATTCACCAAAACTTAACAATAAATACATTCTCTTAATCATTTCCAACAAAACATTTTAAAACCCCTCTTTTGAAATCAAGCCAAACCCTAGGTTTGTTCAAAATTCTTCCAAATCACAATGTTGTTTTATAAAGACAAATATTTAAGTTAAAAAGCATAAGAAAGTGTGTAGACACCCCATTTTTGACCGACCTTAAGACTTAGACGTCACCAGTTGAGCGCTCGGTGATGTTGCA